TAACCGTGTCTACAATTCGGCATCGCACTCTGCCAGTTTCTCAATTCGTTCCTCCCGAAACGACGGGAGTTAGGACTCGAAGAAGTCGTCGAGTGTTCATTTGAACTGATTCCTCGTCACGATTTTTCCTATTTTAGGAGACGCTGCTGGCTGTCAGGGACAAGTAACAGCATGGGGCGGGGCGCGACGCTCTACAGGATGTGGCTGGTGAACAGCTGGCCCCAATAACAGTCGTAGGCCATAGGGTCTCCACTACAATCTCACAGGGCACAGTGACCCAACGCCTAGACGACGTCCGCGAGAAGCTCCATTGCACCTACTGAATGGGTTTACTCCGTAGCCTCCGAGAACTTGCCTTGAAAAGCACCACCCAGGATTAGGGCAATGAAATGAAGTCACAGTACGAGAAAGGGGTGTATGTCAAACATATGGGTCGTACCGACCTCGCGGCACGAAATTGCCAGGCAAACGTACTGAGGCATTGTGTTGCAGGCGAGGATGCACCAAGCACCCGGGCTTTCGCCTACGAAGACGCCATAAGCCAAATCCGCTCTCCTTGAAATCCACGCTCTTTTGTCTCCAATTCCTTTCCCTCTCTGCTGCCTCATTACTTCTAATCTCCTCGTATACTATAACCCTTATAACCCTCCATAGCCTAGAGGAAGAGGCCCGCTTCATGAGCACATTTTCAGTGATATGCAGAGCGTACTGCTCTGACCAAGCCTGCTGTCAACAGACACATAACGCTTGTAATGGCAAGAATTTCTTCGAGGCGAGAGCTTCATCCAGCTATGTGAAAATGGACGGGAGATGGATTACCAAGGTGGGAATAAAGTACTCCATTAGGAGGCTGTTATGTTAATTATTAGTTCACAAACGACAACTAGAATGCGTGGAAATAAAATGAATTGAAAGACTACTACAGAGCAAAAAGGGGTATAAAAACACTGGCATTCCCCTTCTGAGGTCGGCTTTGTATGACGGAAAGACTCCGCGTTGCGAGAGGAGGGAAGAGGCGAGAGTGCAGAGGGCTTCGCGAGAAGGGCGCAGACGCCACGTATTCCGCATATCCACGAAGGCAAAGGCCGTAACGCCTTCTCGCACTTGTGAGTCCGCGAATAGTTGTCGCGTATCTTATTGCACAAACACTAACCGGCTGAACGATGTCCATGGGATCCTCCCTTCCAGAAAACGGGAAAGAGCGTCAGTACAGACCATACACCACAAGTGACGACGGCCACCATGTAAATCTGGTTAGCGTAGTTCATAGTGATAGCTGATTTCTTGGTAAATGATAGTTGTAATTAGTGACAACTGGTATAGAATACAACTGCAACAGGCTAATCATTTCATTGGCAGAAAATGTTCTCTTTCTGAGGAGGTCTCGTAACTTGTGGTGTATGGTCTGCACCCGACGCTCTTCCCGTTTTACGGGAGGCTTCCCAGATATCCGCATTCCACTCTAAACAGTAACAATGTTGACCGCTATAGAGTGGTGAACTTTGAGCGTTGATGAGGTTTTCTAGCGAAAACTCGCAGATATTAACTGCAGTTACACTTTCAGTGGCCAGTAGCTGCAGAAGGTATCGTTGGTAATGATACAGTACGACTCGGAGCTATAGAACGAAGGCAGCTTTGTCATCCCTACCACCGCGTTCGGTCAAGCGACAAAGTTCACATCTTCATTCACGGGCGTGAGTCGTTAACTAGAAGAATTCTTGATATTTGCATTATCCGCTGAAATTACAAAGGTCGGTGTATAGGTTTCACTGATTTACTGATGTTAAAAAAGTTCAGAGCATATAGAGAACCAGATGCAGGCTATATGTTAATGAATGAAAAAACAAGAATAAAGGAAAAAAATTCAGACGGATGTCGATGGCGTCATGGGATTGGGACTGCCTACGGGTGCAGCTGGTCGGAATCACTTCTCGTGTCAATCGCGCCATGGATCTTCATCTACTGGATAAATCCTTTATTCACTGTCTACATGAAGACAGCTAATGGTAAGAAAGTTCAAGATCGTATAACTTCCCTCCGCAGAAAATCCAAGATTCCCCATTAACTGCCGCTATTTTGTTTCGATTGCTCTTTTAATGGTATTTGGATTGAACATCTATTTGTAACTTGTTTTTTATAGATGCCACTCCAACCCGTTGCCTTTTGAGGATGGTTCAAAACCGTGGAGGCCACTTGCTCCTGTTAAGCTCCTCTGACTCCTCATCGTATGCCTTCGCACCGTGGGAGCGCACACAGTGAGGTATCACGAGAATTCGGCACCTACGTTCATTCAGTTGTGCACATTCGGCCACTTACGGTTTCGTAGCATTCCGTTATCAGCGCCACGCAGTCCTTTCTTCAGGCTTCTCCTACAGAAAGCATCGTAGACAAATCAATGCTCCAGGCGGTAAAGCATAAAAGGGGTAGTCAATTATCCTTTAACCTAATACTTCGTTGAGGGTCCCCGTTCTTCGTCAGCAGAGTGCATCCGCTTCTCTGGCTAACATGGCAAGTGTTTCGCTACTAATAAATGGGTAAAGAGTACGTAAGAATAATCTCCTGCAGTCATTTGCGAAGTCAATCATCAGCCACGGTCTAATTCCTCCACGAAAGAAAATGTTTCTAGCGCCTAGAAAAATGTTGGCATGGTCGTCCTCGTCATCACATATGGTGCCATCTGATACAGTTCACTGCGCCGTACGGTAGTTGCCTACGCAACCTCTGCACAACAAAAGCTCACACAAGGTCATGCATGGTTGAGGGTCCATAGGTACTCGAAAATGATGAAATTTTTAAACAAGGTTTCCATTTGACTATATACATATGAGAAGCGAGCGAAAATTTTAAGAGATATAAATTAATTATGGTAGATTTATGTCAATTGAAAGCCTGCCATTATTCAGGTTAAAGCTATGAAATCAGGAAAGTATGTTTCGGCTGCGACATGGAGAGCCAGGTCGGACACTTCAAGCCCTTTTATAGAGATACCGGCACCAGAAGCAGCTGCGATCGCTGACGCGCATGGAGCTAAAGTGGGTTATGCATTCAAACAATTGTGGGGTAACATTCAATTTCTTTATGACTCTTATAAGGCTAAAAATTAAACCCACCTTCTATTCCGCTCTGCGGCCCTAACAATAAGAGCCAGAGAATTCTATGGATTTCCTCTAGCTGTAAGCATTAGGGTTTTATAACAAAGTCGTGCACAGTAAGTTATTGATATTACCTGGTGAGCCCCTATCGTCCATTTTTTGCACGTTTTGGTGGTCCACCCACTGTGGAGCTCCTCTCCTAACCCCACATTTTACCCCCTGAACCTAGGCAAAATCCTGCTCTTGGTTCAAAATCGCTTCGCCATTGCCATTCCAAGCGATCCTTATCGAGAAGCTTTTATGAATGAAAAGGGTTGTCAAAGTTCTTCCCTTAGTTGTCAGCGTTATCAACGCCCCTATCTTTATCTTTATCGTCAGAGCAGTCTAGGAGAATGGAGTGAACCACTATAATTCCATTTTCACCAGAAATTAGTTTATAGCATAATTGAACCCATTATGTGTAAATGGGTGGATTTCAAATTTGCTGTGATGCTTCGGGGCGACGAAGCTATCGAAGAATTCCAGTCATATAATAAAACATTCTGTCCCTCTTCTTGGAAAACCTGTAAATCCGTTGAGATGACTCTTCCGTTTCATGTTCAGATTAACGAAGGCCATAGCGGGTGAGCGGTCGTTTGAAAGATTCCATATTACACAACTTAATAGGAACGGAACAGCATGTCGTTAGGGGAACATCGAAGTGAAGGGAATAGGTCTTAGGGAGGGAATTCGTCTAAGGGAAGAGAATGTTATTCGGGGAGAAAGTAAGTATTGGTTCTCCCTGGGGTTTATCGTCTCCTGAGCATTTATTTGCATTTCTTCAATTTGTTATAGTGTCACCTTGCCCTGTTTCGAATGTCCCCCCACCCTAAGGACATGAGCGCCGGAACGGAACATGAGACGGAGACTTTTTAACTTATTAGCCCTTCTTGAATTTGTTCGACTTTAACTTATAATTTCAGTGGGATGAC